CCTTCCCACTTTCCCCCTCCCTCCCCTTACTTTCCTTTCTTTTTCTCCCCCACAGGGAATCCAGTACAGGCAAGTCAAATATTTGACCCTTGTCGAATATTCAACTCGCGCTGTTAATATTCAACTTCCGGTATTCAATTTGACAGCTATTCGACTCGACTTTAACTTTTCAAGGTCAAATATGTTGAATATTTGTCAAATCGAATATTAAGTCGAAGCTTTGCACAGCCCTAGTATACACACTGACAAGTATTAGTGCTAGCACTGACCCTTGAGGGATTCTACTCTTCAGAGTACATATTCTGCTTTTTTTTTTTTTTTCCTTGGCTGGTAGTGAGTTCGAATGAATTGCTGGAGATGACGTTCTGGTTAAAGTGCATAGCTTGGGGTCAGGTAACAGAGTGCAGTTTATATATGAGGCCTTGATGCCACACAGAGTCACAGGTGAACGAGGCAGATAAGACTGCACCTGTTTTCTACTTCATTTCAAAACTGTTTTCTATGTCAGATGCAAATAATATAACTTGTAATATAGTCAATGACATCATTTTTTCCAAATGCCAGCTTTTTGGGGGGGAGCTGGGGATCAACAATGCTCTCTCTTCTGTTCAGAATTAGGCACTCCTTGAGTTTGTATGTAATGCAGAGTAGTGAGATGGGTTGGTAGCTCTTTGGATCCTCTGGTGGTTTATTGGGTTTCAGGGTAGAAATCTGCTTTTCTTCAGATTTTTAGAAGTCTTTACTTTCTAGACATTTATACATGCATTTCTGAAGCCATCTTTTCCTTGTGGTTCCGAACCTCCTAACAAAGTCTGGGAATATTTGGTCCAGCAGCCTTGCCAGTCTTGATCACTTTAATTTCTGTGTCAAACTTTTTGTAAGAGATGGGGGCAATTAAATTAGGATTACATAGGGTGATTTAAATTGTTCATGAGTCAGATGTCTAATCATTTGTGTGTGTGGCTTGCTTGGGTTACTGCACTCACTGTTGCTGCACAGTATTTTTGTGATGGAGTTTGCTGACACAGGGCAATGTTGTTTTTTGGTGCCTTTGCCTGTAAGGTGGCTAATGGTTTTCCATGCTTGCCTGCTCAAGTGGGTCATATCCAATTCTTCTATGGTTAAAAGCCATCTCTTCTTTTTTATATTGTTCAATGTGGTAGCCAGCTGTTCTGTGGTTCTTTTTACAGCTGCAGTGTCATTGCATTGCTTGATGATGCTAGAGTTGTTCTCACTGCTTGTCCGAGCATGGCACATACTGGCTTCTATAGCTTCTAGGTACACAGTTTGGCTATTTCAGTTAGGCAGCTTGTAAATGTAGTCTTCACTGCTTAAACACTAGTGCTGTGCTTGAGATTAAGCATATACTTTAAATAAGCTTTGCTAGGAACTGGAGAAATAAAACTGAAGAGTCACAAAAGAAAAATGACTTACTAGCCCCTTGTGCAATTTTTTTAAAAGAAGTATTGACTCCTCAAAACAAAAGCACTGATATTTTTACCTGGCTCACACTTTCTGCAGCATCTTCCAGCATACTCATAATATTGTTCACTTTCACATGGTAGAGCAATCTGTAGTGATAACTGGAGAACAGAACAGAAAGGGACATCAACATCAGTATACCAAGAGTTTATAAATTTTTAATAAATTTTTATAAGTGGAAGAAAAACTGTCCTGATACAGCACCTCTGAAAACAATTACCCAGCACTTGTTCCATTGTATTTTCAGCTTCAATAGTTTTTGGTAGACCAACTAAGTAATTCAAAGCAGACTCTATAGGTCCCTATACACATGCTCTGATGCTCTAATTAGAAAGCTTAAGTGTGCCTCAGTATCACATGTATTAAGCATCCTGCATTTCAAAATGGCTGCAGGGGCACGCTAGATAAAACTCGCCGAGCTTTAGTTAAAGCAACCTGAAGCCATTTTGAAACGTGGGATGCTTAATACATGTAACACTGTGGCATTTTAATTAGAGCAGCAGTCCGGGAACCGCTCTAGTTAAAACGCTCCTCCCCCACCCCAGACCATTTGGCTAGACCAGTGTTTCCCAATCAGTGTGCCACGGCACAAAAGTGCGTCATCCGAAATGAACAGGCGTGCCACAGAACTCTGCCATGGTAATGAGTTACAATAGGTACGAGGATGCAGGGTGGCGGGGAGTAGGGGAGTGCCTTAACAGGTGTGCTGTGGAAAATTTTTATTAATGTAAGTGTGCTTTGGGCTGAAAAAGGTTGGGAAACACTGGCATAGACACCCTATCTGCCCATCCACAGCTGTGATAGCCATGGGATGAACAAACAACTCAGGTCTGCAATTTATTAGGCACTTTTGACCTGTCTAATAACCCATCTCTTTCAGCTCTTCTGTCCCTTAATTTTTGAAGCCACCATTAAAAAATAACTAGCTTGGCAGAATCACTTCCTCTCTCCCCTAAATCAAAATAACCCCAGTTCAAGATCCAGCACTGGGAAGATTTAATAGTGGGTCAATGACAGGTTTAGCATTCAACAGTTGGCAAATGTGGCAGAAGTAAAATCAAGTGATTTAATTTTTAAAAAGAATTTCCAATTTCCCACTAGGACTCACAGCCCTTACACTGAGGGCCCCTCTAGACATTCAGGTAAAGATGTGATAGGGTCTGATGCATGATCCAGGCAATCATGCTTCCTGCTATGCCACATGTGCATGGAAGAAGGTGGAATTATGGGATCCAGCATCAAATCCAATCGCACATTATTGCCAGTGCATGGGGAACCTGGGGTCATGACCCTGGGCTTCTCCTGCACCAGCTCCCACTGCTAAGAGCCCCACAGCTGATGGGGCTTGTAGCAGGGGCACCGCATGGAATGCTGCCCGCACTGTGGGCCTCATCAGCTGTGGGGCTCGCAGCAGGTGGTGCACCCTTGCAGCTGTGAGTCCCATCAATTGATGGGGCTCTTAGGCACAGGTGCAGATCTGGCCAGATGTTCAATTAGTTGTGTGATACAAAAAAGCCAAAGTCATTCCACATGTTTTGTGGTACAACTTTGTGGCTTATTCCTTGTTTTATCATGGCATTCATTGATTGAACATGTGCCTGGGTCACAACTTAAGACATAATTACCTGATTAATCACATCCTAAAGACTCAGAGAGAAATGTAGCTCTCCGTTCTAACTCATGTGCTTTGCTAGAGCACCATGAGTTAGACTGATCCTCCTGAGCCAACAGACATTAGCTGTTGGGTCTGAAGAGTGGAGGATGGACTCCAATTTCAGGTCAATCCAGGGAGAGAGGTTGTGTCTCTGCTGCACCTCTCCCCAACTCTGCCCCTCCTCTCGTAGCTCCGGTGCTGTGTCTGGATGGGAGGGGGGAGAAGGCAGGGGAGGGAAGCTTGTTCTGGGGGTTCCCCAGCTGTGCTGGGGGGGGGGGTTAGAGCCCTGCACCTCAGAGGGACTCCAATCTACCTGTCCCACCCTCCAGCATTGACTGGGCAACCCCCAGAATGAGAGCCCCCCACTCCCTTTCCCTCCTCCCATTCTGAAAACAGTGCAGAAAGCAGGGCAGCTCAGCCTTGCTCCCAGTGTGTGCAGATACAAGTTACTGAGGGTGCTCAGCTTTGGAGTGCCTTTATCTGAACCCTTGTGTAATGAGGGTTCAGATTGTTGCAGGATTGGGTCCTTTTGAAGTGTTCTGCAGTTATGCACTTCTGTTTGGTCATGGCTATAGAGCACTTTCAGAGTCCAGATCAGGGGAAAATTGTCACTTCTGTCTGTGCCTTAAGTGTATGTATAGATGGGGACTGAGTCCCAGAAAATGATGGACCTTCATTGGTGATATTTTAAGTTATTTTTATAGCTCCCTCTGAGCCCTGCAAAGTTGATCTCATTGGAATTGTAAATTCTGGCTGTAGAGATGATATACATTAAATTTTAAAAAAAAGTCTGGCATTCATTAAAATCCACTCAGTAACAAGAGACAAAATGCACAAAAGTTGTCTTTATTTTCCATTAGGTCTCCAAATGAATAACTTACAGAACTCAAGCTTACTTATGCCAGATGTGAGTAATAGAGTCATGCCATTGTTAACTATTGCTTTTATACTACTTAAGACACTTCCCAAACCTTCATTTTTAGTGGTTAACAATAAATGAAACACTATTGACAGAATCCTGGACTTTTCCTTTGATAAGAGTGCAGTAACATTTCTGCTGCAGGTCAAAGGATGCTTTCAATTCATACAAGCACCATGGGCACAGCTGAAGTGAAATTCATAGCAGTTTCCATTCCCCTACTTACTTGTCTGTTCTTGTTTCCTCCTACTCTCCACTTGTTCTTTTTGTTCCTTTCTGTTCCCAGACTTTTTATATCCTTACACGTCACAACCTCTAAAGCTGGTGGGGATGCAGGCAGGTCTCACAACTTAGAGTTCCTTCCGTCTCTCTTGTGCCCAGTCAGCATTTTCCCATAATTAAAATCCTTCCTAAATGCATTTCTTCCAGCTTTGAGTTATAGCATGGTTCATTATTTCAGTGTCTGCACTGACGGATTATGTGCAAGTTAGATGAAGAATCTGAGCTTGATGGTTGTGTCTTTTTATTAAGTGTTTACCTGGTGCCAATGCAATTCATAATAGCTGTAGCAATCCTGAGGTAAACGGAGGATCCAACCCTGCAAGTGTAGCTCTTTTGTCTCATTTTTGTTCCTGCCTGTTTCCCCTAATCCATGTGTCTATAATCACTTGTTGTCTCTTGCTTTATATGGTAAATTCTTTAGGGCAAAGACTGTTTTGTTTTTTTTTTAATTTGCATTTTTGCAGTGCCTGGCATGACAGAGTCCTGGTTCCCAGAACAGTACAAATCAGCAAGTCATCACAAAAGCTTCCACAGAGGCTTAATCTTAATAATGGATCCCTGAATCCTTCCCAATGAATGTAAGTAGTCAATATTCAGGACCATGTGCACCACTGATATGAAAATAGCTAGTCCCAGGAACCACTGGGGGTGGCAACAGGGTGGAAGAGGAGAGGGATAGCCCAAGGGATGAATGTTGATGCTTTTCACTGTGACATGGGCAAAATTTGAACATCCCTGTGCTTGGAGGGATATGCTGACTTTCTGACTTCACAGAAATAGAAGCACGCAGTAAATTATTACCAGAGCTGTAGCACAGTACTGTGACTTTCTGGAAAGAGTAAACAACAGATAAAGGCCCTGTAAATGAACAATTTCTTATTTGTAGCCATCTTGAAATCCAAGCAAAATGAACAAGGCAAAGCGACTGGTTGTGGTATTTGTCTTTTTGCACAAAATAATGTTTTTTCTTCCTTGTTTGCTCCAATTTAGAAGTTCCTCTTTAGACAACATTACCGAAGTGCTAAGCGAGGCCAAAGTCCTTCATTTTAAGGAAGGATATGCAAATCTATTTTAGAACACAGAGCTAAAGGGTTGGGAATCATTTTTGAAAAACCTAAACTCAGTGTGAGTGGAAGAGGCGACCGACCACATGCAGACAGCCCTGCAGTGGTTCCTCTTACGCTTGGAATCTGGACAATGGGCTAGTTCTTTGGTTACCTGTTATAGATCCTTTTATACTTCCCCTGTTACAATATAAGCAGGGCTTTTGTTACAAAATATCCTCAGACACAGCTGCATAAATGTGTACCCTGTAACAATGAGCGGTCTTTGCCTCCGGTGGAATCACTTCACTTATATAAAGCAGCTACTATTTACAAAACCTCCCTACCCTTACTGCACTGAGAGTGCATATGGGATATGAAAGTAATGATGTTCAGGTACCGAACAAACCAAATTTCTTATGCTGAACTGCGATGGAGTCCAAGCCTAGCAACCGGGGGGAAGGTGTAGAAGGGGCAGCTGTTTTGTGTCCGATAGAGATATACAGCGTGGCAGCTAAGGTGAGAGAAAGAAGTAGTAGTAAAAGAATATATGGGAGACAGGAATTTGTGTTTTTGATCACATTTGGATCTTAGTATCTTAAACTAGGAAGAATTTTGCATGCAGGGCAGAGGCAGCTGCTCTCTCCCATGGAGATAGCCATATGTAGGACTCACACTCAAACTGGGCGGGTGGGGAGGGGAGGGCGCTGACCTTGCATCGCTACTCATGACGGTATTACTCCTATGGTGCATAATGGCTGTGAAGTCACAGAACTCCTCATTCAAGGGACTGCAGGACTATATCTCAGTATGAAACTAGACAGAATCTTCCCCCTACCCCCAGGAGGGGAGAGACTTAAGGTACTTCCATTGACCACCCCCACCCTCCCTCCCACCTCCCCAGTCAGTGCAATGTCCGAGTGTCTCACCCTTATGAACACATTTATCCTGAACACCATTGCAAGGTAGGGCAGAAGCACTATTACCACTACTGCGTTGCAGAAGAGGAACTGTGGTTCAGACCCACAAGAGCCATGTCTATATCAGATCCCTGCTGAGTTCAGGACTGCCACTAAAGACAACGACTACCACTTATTCCTGCTCTAGAGACATCTAAGCCCGGCAGTGTCAATGGCTTAGAGTTGTAGTAGGCAAACTTTTCTGGCTGCAGGCCAGAATGACCCACCTGAAGTGGGCATTAGG